CAAAGGTGAAAGTTTTGCTGTTTTTGTTTTGGTGTAAGTCAATTTACTCATCAAACTTGAAACTTCAGTTTTAGTCCTGCACAGAGTTCATTAGTTTCCCATTTTCTGTGGTACTAAGATGCCATTACATGTTGAATTTGTGTAGGTGTGGGCAAAACACTTGGTTTGATTCAGAAAATAAAACCTGAACTGACAATGTGGCATGGATATTGTAAATGGACTGGTTCTTACATAGTGCTATTCTACCCTACCTGAGCACTCAGAACACCCTTAAGCTAAATGAGGCATCCCTGACATTCACACTCTGATGGATGCATCGGAGGGGAACTATGTTGTGAACTATGTTGTCCCAGGATATTTGGGATACAGAGAGGAGCAGACGGTGACTGAACCACCAACCTTCTGATTAGTGGAGGAGCTGCTCTACCTCCTGAGCTGAGGAGAGCCACATACTGTATATTAAACTTTACATTTAAACTAAACAAATGACAAATCAAAAGTGATTCCTGTAAAGCAAATACTTAAAAGTAGTTGTAGAAAAATATAGAGAAGCTAAAGATAAAAAAAAAAGACATGCAACAGAATAAGAGGGTGCAGGAGAGGAGTAAGACAGTAAGAGAGCAGTGAATAGGGAATAGCAGTGAATCAATGCACGGCTTGGGCTATGGTGCCAGTCTCCTGGAGAGGGGCTGGACTCTGTTGCCCTTGGTGAGAAACTGTGGGCTTGGGTGGGTATCGTAGTATCCGCGTCCTTTGTGAGGTATTCCGACATGTCCCACTGGGAGAAGGCCCTGGGGCAGACCCAGGACACGCTAGAGATCATCTCTCGGCTGGCCTGGGTGTTCTCCGAAACAAGATGGAGGAGGTGACAGGGGAGATGGAGGTCTGGGCTTCTCTGCTCAGGCTGCTGCACCCGCGACCCAGCCCCGGATAAGCGGAAGAAGATAGATAGATAACAATATGATGTAACAATAATTTTATGAATAGTAGCAGTATTGATAGTTATTCAACTCAAGGAATGTTCATAAAGTTTTCTTTATTGTATTTTAACACCTTCTCCATCTGAGTATTGTTTTGAGCTTACCACTCATTAGTCATTCATTAATCACTCAAGACTCCCTTAAAATATTTTTGTATGTGTTTTTTTAGACATTGCATAAAAACAAACTTCACAAACCTTTGTTTGTTCTGTACAAGTAAAAAAAAACGAATAGTTCTTTAGAATTGTTGATTCATTTGCACATTTACTGATACTATATAAACCAGTTTGTGTGAGCATTGTAACATCTTCTTTGTAGAAAGAAAATGCAGTGTGTTCACTTTTAGGACACAAGCTTATAGCAGGGACATAAGATGGCTTCAGAAAAATATACTTTAAGATACATTTAAGAAAAAAATAAAATAGCACAGGAAATTCAGTCTTGTTCTATATGAAGTTTTTAAGCTCTTTTTACACCTTGTAATGTGTTGAACTTTTTGTGGGTGATCTGCACTACTGCAACCCAGCTTTGACAATTAGATGTCTCTCTGTGCTGCGATGGAAACTCTCTGATGTGGCCAGTATGCAATTAGCCAGTTTTACAGTCAACACTTGAAATTATCCTTTCTGTGAAACGTTAGTTTGTAAGCTGAAGTTTTTTTGGCCTGTCATGTTATCTTATACCACTGTGTAATATTGCCACATGTTCGCTAGTTGTATATACTGTAGTAGTGAAATAATGTCTTGCAGAAACATCACCTAATCACTCAGCTAATCAGGTATTACCAGAATATGTTTTTTCTTTAGCACAGCATTTGTTAAGTTGGGCAAGTAATAATTAAAATCACAAAGAAATGTGTTAAAAAGTGTAAATTCAGGCAAAAAACTTACCCATATGGAAAAGAAATAGAAAAAACGTCTAAAAGACTTGCATAAGATGTGGCCTACTTCATATAGTGAATCATATCAGGCTTATATGATTTACTCATGAAAGTGGCCACTTTCTCATTACTTTCATATATTGTTTTAATAAGTATCCAAAACATACAAGTTTAATTTACATAATTTTTCTAGGGATCTTATATCTGTTTTCAGTCTTGTATACTTTTCATACAAGTTTTCACACAGACAGACACAAACTTTATAAGATTTATATATATCCTTTCCATATGGGTAATTAGTGGTTATTTGTCAAGTGTTATGAATCGCAGTAACATGTTTAAAAAAAATTCGTATGGGGCAACAAAAGGTTGAAAAACAAGGTGATATTTAAAAGAAATGGCTGGAAAAACATTTTTCAGGTCAGGTTAACATGATTGTACATTAAAAAAAGAAAAAATTATTAGGGAGGCTGAGTTTCTCAAAAATAAAAATGGGCCCAGGTTCCTGCATTTTGAAATTGTGTTCCTGCACATAAAATTCCCAAGATGTTAAATAGCTCATCATCTGCATTATATAATCATCAGCAGATTCTGGGAAACAGAGGACATCTCTGTGCTGGAGAAACAGGGCTGAAAATCAATACTGACTGACCCTCGGGCATATCCTCTGACTAAAACGGAGAGGGACCATCCAGCTTGCTCTCAGTAGTAACTTAAGCCTACATCTCTGATGGTATGGGGCTGGATAAGTGCCACATCAATGCTGTTATTTATACAACGTGTAATATTAGATCATATGTATAATGCTGGTATAATACAATAAAAATTTAAAAAATGTTATTCATTTTGTATTCACTTGGGTTATCTTTGTCTAATATTAAAATGTGTTTGCTGATGTGAAAAATAGAGTGTAAAAAACTATAAACCTGGACGGGGGTGAACAATTTTTCACAGCATTGTTATTCTACATGTAGCTACTGTACCGAATGAAGCTTGTTACTCAGATGACTGACACAGGTTAAAACATGCTGTAGCTGTGATCATGACTGCAGCATTGGGGTGACATAACTGTGGCATTGGTCATGATTATTGCAGTGACATATCATTTTATGGCTGCTGTAGCACAAAATTTGCAGAGGCTGTGTGTTTGCATGGGGAGTCAGGATGGGTGTGTTTCTGAACACTGTGGTGTGCTGCCTGTCATGTCTTATAAAGTGTATAGTGCAGCTAATGTGCAGCTTAGAATGTAGAAAGGACACAGTAAACAATATATGCAATCCAGAATAACTGCCCATTTCGTGTCATGTCATTTCTAATTTTCATAGTGTTTTCAGAGAGTTCCTCTAAGTTTAGCATGTGATGCAGTCATATTCGCCTGTTTACTTAAACATCCTAACTATGATTCCGTTAAACCCTTCAAAGACTTTTTTTTTGTTAATCACTTAGCTCCTCTGTATGTGTCCATATACACATTCCTGCTCATACTTACCTTAAGACATGGACTGAACGCTGTGAGCTAGTTTAGGCAGAAAACACAAGCTGCACTGCATTACTCCTGCAGAATTTGCATTTCTCTCTGTGACGTGTTAGTGATGGTGTTAGTTCAGACTAAACTCCTCTTCAAAAAGACCACGCAGACAAGAGGGTTTGACTTCACTCCCTTCACTTAGGCCAGTTGAAGTACGGTAAAACTGAGAAACAACATGAATGCTCTTAGAAATCATAGATGACAAATACACAATAACAGTACAAATGACTTAGCGTTAGCGAATCCTCTCTTATGGAAGAAATATAGTATCATCAGAATTCAAGTATTTTTAGACATTGAATTTATAACACTGAATTTTTATCCTCCAAAATTCACCTGCAAAAAATTCACCTGCAAAAAATTCAACTGCAAAAAATTCAACTGCAAAAGTGATGAACTTTTGACCCAAGCCAGAGCAATCAGCACTAGATCGAGTCGAGCGGCTCTCAGCCAATTAAATTACGCTGTTTGATCACATGACACCGTTAGCCAGCAGTGTCTCTCCTAAAAGAGAGCTGTTTAAACGTGAGTGATTAAGTTTTTCTCCTAAATAGAGATCATTACAGAACGCCTAGTCCTACTTAAAATCCCATTTATTTTTATTTTATTTTATCATCTACTCGAACTAAGGAAAACGTTTGACTAACTCAAAGACAATTTCCAAGCCTCCCCTGCCTGTCTGCAGAGGCAGTTTTGA